CCTGACGGCGGCGACGCCCCGCGCGTAGGCGCTCGCGGCGGCGCGGTGGCGCTCGTCCGCGGCGTCCCGCGCCGCGTAGGACGCGCGCGCCTCGGCCAGGTCCGCGGCCGAGAGCCCCCCGTCGTCGTCGTCGCGCCAGCGGTCCGGCGCGCGCGCGAGGTCGACGCCCGCCGTGCGCTTCCTCGGCGCCGCCGGGTCGAGGTCCAACACGTCGCCGAGGCCGTCGGCCGAAGTTTGGAAGCGCGCGGAGGCGCCGAACGCGGAGCCGCGGACGCGCGCGTCGACGGACCGGCGCGAGGGGTCGAGGACGAGCGCGTCGCCGCCGGGCGACGCGGGCGCGACGTCGTCGTCGCGGCCCGTCTGGTTCGTGAAGGACGCGTAGCGGTGGCCCCGCGCGGCCGCGGTACCGACGCCGCGGTCGAGGCTGAGGTCCAGGGCGTCGCCCGCGCGGAACGCGTCGTCGTCGAAGGCGTCGTCCCAGCGCGGCGCCTTGGGGAGGACGGGCCCGGCGTCGCTGCGCCGGAGCCGGTCGAAGGCGTCCGCCGCCTCGAGGCGCAGCACGTCGCCCGCGTCGTCGCCGGCCGTCGCCGCCGCGGGCCGCTCGCCCCGGGGCCCCGCGGCGTCGTCGCGCGCCGTCGTCGCGAAGGCCGACGCGGCGCCCGGCGCGTCGCCGTCGTGCACAAAGGCCCAGGCCTCCGCCGGGTCGTAGGACCCGCTCAGCGGCGCGCCGCGCGGCTTCCGGAGCGTCGGCGACGCGAACGCGCGCGTCCGCACGCCGCCGCGGCCGTCGGCCTCCGCGACGTCGCGGCCCCGCTCCCGGTCGTAGGGGAGGACGCCCGCGGGCTCCGGCGCGGGCTTGTCGCCGGGCTCCGCGGCGTCGCGGCGGGCCCGCGCGGCCGCCTCGACGCGCCGCTTCTCGCGGACGAGCCTCGGCGTCGCGGGCGACGGCGCGTAGACGGGCACGGCCTTGCTCGACCGCAGGGACCGCCCGAAGGCCGCGACGGCGTCGGCGCCCTCGTCGCCGCCGGCCCACGCGTGCTGGAGCTGCGGCGCGAGCTCGCCCCGGCGCCGCTCCGCGCCTCGAGATTCCTCGGCCCGCCGCCGCCGCAGCACGGCGCCGCCCTTGGTCGTGTCGCGGCGGCCCCGCGCCTCGACCTCGGCCTGGAAGAGGGCCGCGGCCCGGACGGGCTTCTCCAGCGCCGCGAGCGACTTCGCGACGTCGTGCGCGCCGGGGCCCCGGCCCGCCGCGCGGAACAACTCGTCGTCGCGGACCTTCTTCGCCGCGGGCGGCGGCGCGCCGAGGCCCGCCCGCGCGATCGTCGCGCCGACGGACCGCGGCCGCGTCGCGCGGTCCGCGGATTTGGCGGACTCGACGGACGTCGCGACCGACGGCTCGTCCTCGGAGCTCGAGACCCAGTCCGAGGAGTCCTCGTCGAAGTCCTTGCCTAATTTCGATCGCCGCCAGTCCCGGAAGGACCGCTCCGTCGCCCGCTCTCGGCGCCGCTCGGCGCGGGCCGCCTTCCGGGCCTCGCGCGCCTCGCGCTTCGCCGTCGCCTTGAGCGCCTCGAGCTCCTCCGCCACCTCCGCGGGCCGCTTCCGCGGCTCCGTCGTCGCCGCCCCGAAGGCCGCCGACGCGGCGACGCGCCGGTAGCGGCCGTTGACGCCGTCGGCGCGCTCCGCGTCGTAGAAGCCGGGCCCGCCGCCGTCGCGGTAGCCCCGGCGCCGGTGGAGCGCGAGCCGCGCGCGCGGCCGCAGGACCGTCGCGGCGTCGCCGCGCAGCGCCAGCGCCGGCGCGACGGGCTTGACGGCGTCGAGCTTGGGCTCGTAGGCGCCCGGCCCCGGCCCCGCGTCGCCGTCGGACACGGACGAGTCCCCGTAGTCGCTGCCCGAGAACTCGTCGCGCGGCGCGAAGTTGACGCCGGGCACGTCGGGCCGCGTCGCCCGCTTGAGCGACAGGGGCGTCTCCGCGGCGCCGGCGTCGCGCGGCGCCGGCGCCGGCGCCTCCGGGAACCGCGCGGACTGGCCCCAGGCCGCGGCGCCGCGCGACCGCCGCGCGGCGACGGCCCGCTCGCCGGCGAGGACTTTGCTGTGGCGCTCGAGGCCGTCGTCGCCCGCCTCGCCGTCCGCGGGGGGCTTCGCCGCCGCCGGGCGCCGCCAGGGCACGACGCCCCGGTCGGGCCGCGCGGCCGTCGCGCGGTCGACGGCCGCGGCGACGTCCGGCGGCGGCGCCGCGGCGCGCGGCGCCGCCGGCGGCGGCGGCGCCCGGCGCGGCGCCGCGGGCGCGGGGCCGAAGCCCCGCAGGCGCCGCAGGGGCACGCGCGTCTCGTACTCGCCGTCGTCGTAGTGGACGTCGACGTG